TGCCTGCCCACGGACACAGCTTTAAGGTTCATAATAATTGGGGCATGGTCCTCAAATGATAAGGGTGGCTGGGCCTGGTTTCCAGCAGGAGCAGCTCCCCACTATTGGACTGGACCCGTTCGCAGACGCTGGACTTGGAGGGGCTTCTGCTCCTATCAATGCCTGCCCTCACAGCTTTAAGGTTCATAATAATTGGGGCAAGGTACTCGAAGAGGGTACAAGGTTTAGTACGTATAAATGGTTTCAAAAAAAGGTTTCAGAAAAAGGGGGGTTGGAATAAGGGGGGTTGCAGACACCGAGGATGGGAATCCAGCCACTAGCAGCACAACGAGCGCACAAGTCATAAACACAGCGAGCACCATCCTGGTGGGGCTGGGCCAGTTGAAAGTAGGAGCTCCGTAATTTGGATGGGTAACATATGCAGCCCTGAGGGAATCGAAAGAAGCTCTGACGTGTGAAACTCTACTGACCATATGCCCAACAAACACTGTAACATAATGTTGTATCCAATGAGACGCTGGACCCGGTTTCCAGCAGGTGCTGCTCCCCACCAATAGATGGAGCCTCCCCGGCGGTGCTAGATGTGTCTGTTCAGCACACCTAGCATCCGATCGGGTTTTCTTGTTAAAAATAAAAAATAAATAAATAAATAAATAAATAAAGAAAAAAGAAAAAAGAAAAGAAAAGAAGGAAAGTGTCAACGATTTTCCTTGTCCGTCCTTAATGCTTGCATTGCAGAATAATGGTTGTCTGAGCACTTCCTCCCTTGTTATGGGTTCTTTAACTTTTGCGGGGAAGACCTCCTTCCATAGCTTTATGAGCTGCACCCAATAAGAGGGACTCCGAGCTTCCTCATCTTGCATTGTATTATTCCCATCCCTGTTGCCTACCTTTGCCCAATTTCCACACATGATCCAGAACTGGCCCGACGTATTGCTCGGCGTTTTGTACCTTGCTAATTGCCTTATCCTTTCCAACACCACTGATGTCCACGATAGCCTTGGTTGCGAAATTAGCTTTACAACCCATTTGGTTTGAAACGCTTTCAGTTGGATGTCCGGATCCAACACGCCAAGGCCACCCTGCTGCTTGGGTCTGGTGACATGTTTCCAAGCGACCTTTGATATGAAGTGGTTAGTGTTTGGTTTGGCTGTCCATGGATACGCCGCCGCTCTTCTTCTTAATGGGACTGCCGTTGCTTTTGGCGGAGACCAAATTGACCCAGCATACCACAACGTGGAAAAAATGGATTGCATTAAGTATCAGTGCCCTACCGTATATTGGTGTATAAACCGCTGACCATGCTCCTAGTTTAGTCAAAATCTTTGATATTAGGTCCGCTGCCATGGAATAATGTGTTCCACCTTCTTTTATTTTGATACCTAGATATCTGAGAGGAACTCTAGCTGTCATCCACTGCAGACCCTCTGGACTGTTGATTGGGGGTTCGTCTTGTTGCCCACCACCCCATTGTTTTTTGCCAATTGACCTTTATTTCAGACGCTAGCTGGAAAACTTCCATTGCCCTTGTTAGCGCCTGAAAAGAGGAGTTTGATGTTCTAATAAGCACTATCAAGTCGTCCGCGAAAAGAATTGTGGTAGGAAGATATACCGTGTGTCCTTGTTGATCCGGCGGTGCTATCAGTCTCTGGATTAATGGACCTTACGCAGAAAGGAGGCTACTGCCTCCATTATGAAAAGGAAAATGGGAGCAGCCAGGGGATCCCCCTGTCTAACCGACCTCGACATCGCATAGATCTGAGAGAGATGCCCGTTAACCTGTACCTGCCCCTGCGCATGGTTATAGAGGACCCTTACCCATTTCCGAAGCTCGAGCCCACTCCCATCTTTTCCATGCATTGCTGCAGGAATGGCCAGTTGACCTGGTCATACGCCTTTTCGAAAAAGACAAAAAAAACAATGTTGCTGCGTTAATTCTCTTATCCCTTATGTACCGAACTGTTTTCGTTAGAGTCATAACATTATCCAAAATGAACCTTCCCGGAATAAAACCCGTTTGATCTACATGGAAACAGTTGGCTGTAATAGCCGATAGACGGTTGGCCAGTGCCTTGGCTACTATCTTGTGGGTGAGGGTTAAGAGGGTTATTGGCCTGTAGTTGCGTATGTCTGACGGGTTTCCTTTCTTATAGAGAAGCGTCACTATACCTGTTGCTGACTCCTGCCCTATTCCTTCCGCCTGCCATGCTTGCTCTAGAAAGGCTAAGTATTCCTCTCCCAGAATCGGCCAAAACTCCATCCAAAATCCCCTAGTGAGACCATTTTTCCCTGGGGTTTTGTTTGGAGCTAGAGAGGGAGGGTTTTCATTATCAAGAGACTTCAATGTTTATGTGTGTTCACTGTTCTTGCATTGATGTCATCACAACCTTGTTAGTTCTACTTTCAGTTTGCTAAACTCTAAGTAACGCTTTAGATTTGTAGAAATTTTGGCAGCACTCCCTCTAGATAGGTGCCTTTCCAAATTTTGTACAAAGCTAAATACAAAATCTAAAAATAACTCAAGACTTCACAAAGTCAAATATTTTTATGTGCAATCACCGCATATTTTTAGTTCTGCTTTCAGTTTGCAATGTCTATGTGTCATCAGAGCATATTTTTAGTTTATGCTTGTTCCTCAATTGGGTTTGTGTTGGTTAGAAATTTGTTTTCTAAAAAATTCTCACAGGATCGGGATCGTTTCTTGCATTTTTTGCACTAGTGGCGCTCTATTCATCTAGCGATGTGAACATCCAGCTATGGAGCATTGCGGCTCTGAGGAGTTCCATAGCTGTTGGATAATGGGCGATGAATAGCACTCAGCCTTTTCCAAAAAAAAATAGAACAAAGAAAAAAAAGCCTTTTCCATGGAGGAGTATACCATTATTATTTCAAACCTTTCCAATGAGGAGGGTGCTGGCTACCACAAAATGAAATTATTGAGCAATGGCTACTCTTTGTCACACACATGCATATAACAAAATGAAATTGTTGAGCAGTGGCTGCTCTTTGTCACACACATGCATGGAAAGTTTTTAGAATTTTTTGCTTGATCCACTAGTACCTTTGCCGCTTCAAAAATGAGCGAAAACGCCATTCCCCAAACAATTCGGAAACCACGCCCGACGACGGCTGCCATTGATAAAAATATATAATCGGCGGCCGTCATTTCATTTTGGCCTCCTGAAAGGTCGGAGGCCCGCTATTTTCCGAACCGGCAAAGGTACTAGTGGTTTAAATCACCAGGACATTTCCCAGCTATCTTTTCAGAGTGGCTGCATGCAGGCTGCGGCAACGTTCGGGACTCAGCCGCCGGAGCAAAATGATTGGCGGCGCCAGCAGGAGGAGGAGCACCGCGCTGCTTCGCTTCGTTTCTTTTTATGCCGCACAGCATGTTTCCAGCCCCGGAGAGAAAAGTGCCTCGGAAGTGCTTGTAGTTTAACAAAGGTGAGATAAGGCTTAACGTTCGGGGCTCGGCCGCCGGAGCAAAATGATTGGCGGCGCCAGCAAGAGGAGGAGGCCCGCGCCACTGCGCTTCTTTTTTGGCGCGCAGCATGTTTCCAGCCCCGGAGAGAAAAGTGTGCCTCAGAAGTGCTTGTGGTTTAACAAAGGTGAGATAAGGCTTAACGTCGGGCCTCGGCCGCCGGAGCAAAATGATTGGCAGCGCCAGCAAGAGGAGGCGGCCTGGCGCGCAGCATGTTTCCAGCCCCGGAGAGAAAAGTGCCTCGGAAGTGCTTGTGGTTTAACAAAGGTGAAATAACTTCAAATAAGGCTTGTTCTCCACAAACCTACTATGGCCATTTTCCCTAGCTTAAAGTAAAGCACATCAGACTTCCCGTAATGAAAACGGGGCTGCGCTGTGAGCAATGAGTGGAGGGCGATTACAAAAATGGCATCCCACGAGAACCGAAAAGTCGTGCACATGTTTTCCAACTTGCCCACGATCGCGGTGCCAATGTATCACACTGTCTCTGAGGAAATGTTTGGTAGATACCCATTTTCCTTCTCCACTGTAGGTCCATGATGCGCTCCACAGTTCAGGGGGCTGATTTGCTTATTTATTTGAATTGAGGCCACTGGGCTTGACCACAGTGTGGGTCATTCAGTTGGTTGCTTGCCTTACATCCTTTTTTTTTTTTTTTTTTTTTTTTTTTTTTTTTTACTTACATCCATTTTCTTCAAAGGGAAGACTTGATCACAGTGTGGATCGTCTGGTTGCTTGCCTGTTTTGCTTGGCCAAAGATATAGTCTGATATACCCATTTTCCTTCTCTACTTTAGGAAACTTACTTGTAGGTATGGGACCCGCGCCACCAGGAATGAGCTCATGTTCCTCGGTAGGCAGCCCGGTGCACCGTGCATGTGAAAAATTGGGGACATCGCCGTGGAGCCGCATGTTATTTCGAGGAATTTCCTGGATGGATGCTATGACCTTTCGTCCTCGGTAATCGCCCATTTCAGTTTCTCACTGAGTTTCTCGCGGATAAGTTATAACAAAGGTTCGCGAACTTCGCGGATAAGTTATAACAAAGGTGATATAGTTTCAAATGCAAAAAAAGACAACATTTTTCTGTCGTGTCAGTTTTTCCCATCTGATCCAGTACATGCCCTGGTCGTTGACTCCAAGGTGTGTGGGGGGTGGGGGGGGGGTTATGTGACGATCCTTTCACAATACAAAACCTCCACATGCACCCCAGTGACAATGCATTATCTTCGAGGAACCCGGGGGGAGGAAAAGAGGAGGGGAGGGGAGGGGGGGGGGGGCGCTCCGGGAAGGGTTTATGGCGGCTACAGTTTCATTCCCATAAGTTGTCCCCACTTTGCAGGAGTGGGTTGGCAATATGCAGCACAACCACACAGCCTTTTTTCTCTGGAAAAAAAAACAAAAAAAACAAGACCCAACTATACACTCGGGTTAAAGGGGTTTAGAAAAGTGGGCTCTCTCAATGAGAGAAAACATCATCAGCTTCTCCTTTTTGCTGCATTGTTGTTGTTTATCTTTTCTTGTTTTTTTAACTTTTGTTAAAATTGCTGCGGTGTTGCTGATTGCTGAATTTCAACAGTAGAAATCACACTCATCTCTCTCCTCTCTCGCTTTGCACCAGAGCATGTTTGCCACAAGAAGGACAACCATCCACTCACACTGGGAGAAAAAAAAAAAAAAAAAAAGAAAGAAAGAAAAACGAGAAAAAAATGTATATAATTATTATATATATATCGTCGAACAGAACTGCCCGGTAAACCGTCGGCAGAGAGGGAGAAGAGAATAACAAACGAGGGGCTGTGACAAACTGTTTCGTCGGAGTTTCACCGACTCATCACATATACACACTCCGACAAAGAGAACCCCTTGTGTAGAAGGTGCCTCTCCTTGAGCAACTTAATGGGGTAACTTGTAAGTTTTAAATCACCAGTACATCCACTTCAATCTTGCCCGATGCTTAATTTTGCCCATCGCCGAACGACTGCACTGCTTTGGAAGCCAGACCTACCGCTGCCAGCCATACATCTTCCATTGGGTGCAGAAAATTTTAACTTGTTTTTTCGGATTTTCTCCTGTTTTTTCTAATATATTTTTTATAATTTATGCCTTAGACAGCAGCACCTACCCTACAACAATGAGCATTTCTTTCCCCGCCGATTCTAGTTCGACTCTGTGAAATGACTTGAGAGGTGTAGACTAAGTAGGATCTGTACGGCGCAAGTGAAATACCACAACCATGAGCATTTCCAAAACTAAGTTCTTGAAAGAGATGCGAACCAACTCAGCCAAGAATTGCCAAAGTGGGGACCACTCAAATTTCTGTCCTTCCCCTCCGCGCCCCTCCTTCCCCCACCTCAGTTGGCCAAACCTG